TATTAAAAAAACAAATTATAATTAATAATTTACATTGCGACGAACACAATCAATGTCGTAACACCTCTATCGACCGAAATTATAAAAATTGTAATACGACCGCGACAATTTTTTAAAATCGGCTTAAAATTAAATTAAAGATGTGCTTTATTAATGTTTAAAAAAATTAGTACTTAATTAATTTTAAAATTTTATTAATTAAAATGAATTGAATATGGATTAAATTATATTTAAATAATTTAGATTAAGATTAAAACTGGTTTCAAACCGATTAAAAACCGGTTTGAAATCAATTATATTTTTTAAATCAGTTTTTGTGATTAATGGTTTGATTTGTAAACCATAACCATAAAAGTGGATTGAATCACAATATATGGTAACCATGCACACCCCTAAGCACTAGGTTAAAATTCAACTTTTAGGGATAATATTTATTTATATTTATTTATTTATGTTAATAAATTAGTAATATTTATAAGTCAAACAACTTTTTTTTAAATGGTATCAATGAAATTATAAGAATATTATTTATTTTGAAGTCATTTATCTTCAAAGATGTGGTGGTGTAATTGGCTAGAGCAAGCAACTTCACTTATGTCACTTATAGAGTGTTTGGTTTCACGTTTGCTTTAGTAAAATCACGGTGGCCATTAATTTTTAATGCGGAAATAAAGAAGCTACAAAAGTTAATTTCTAATAGACACGCTTTTTTTTTCACCGTGATTCCAAAGACAACATTATACTATTCCACTACATCATCAATCATATTGTGAGATCATAAAAAATGACACACAAAATGAATAGATATAAATATAAAAATGAAGAACCAAATAGTTCATTTTAAAAATGAGACGATCATTATAAAAAATAAAAAAAAGATGATCAAATATTAAAATGTTTATAAATATTTTGATTCTTCGATGATATAAAAATTAATTTAAATAATTTGATTTTGTAATTTTTATTTAACTTAAATGCAAATTGAACATTTGTAATATATTACATTAACATAAAAATAAACTTAATAGTAAATATTAACAAATAAAATCACATTAAAAATATAAATAAAAAAAAATCTCTTAATCTTTGCTTGGGAGTTTGGAGAGGAATGGAGGAGAGGGCTTTGAAAAATAAAAAGGATGAGGTGAAAAGAATACAAAGATTTTGGTTGAGAAAATTTTGGAGGATTTATTTTTCTTCATAACACCAAAAACTTCATAATTTTGGAAAACTCAAATTTTGTATTGGAAGTTAGCTTTGGGGGGCTTAGATAATTTGTTTAAGGTTTTGTTTAACAAGACATTTTTTTAGCTTATAACATATAAGCTCATAAGACAACTGAAATAACCGGCTGAGCGAATTATCGAGATGAAATCAATGAAGTCGTCATCGAACGTTTTTTATCCCGCGGGAAGGGAAAGATAAACATCGAGTAAACCTGAGAAGGATGAAATCAAGGTCAAACGACTGAGAGATACGGGTAAGGGAGTCGATTACGCAAGGGGGAGGTATTAGCACCCCTCATGTCCATGGTACTCCAGGGGATCCACTCTTGTTGTTTTAATCAAAGGGTGTGTTCAAATCTACAGCTTACGAGCTAAAAGAAAAAAAAATGCAAAGAGGGAATGCATGCGAAAGAAAACACGGGAAAAGGAAAGAATATTTACAACGTTTCGCTCAGTTAAGCTCCGCGGCCAGATTTCTATGTATCCCTTTTAAGGAATCAGAGTGTTGTAGTTCAGCTCAATAGTTTCCATTTGTTTTGTGTTTTTTACCTTGAAAAAGGGTTTTAAAAGAAAAGTCAAACGGCAAAATAAAGTTTGGATTGGTTGGTGTTTTTTACCTTAAAAAAGGATTTGAGAAGTGCTAGATGTTTTATACATTTTCCAAGAAAAAGGTTTTAGTCTTAAGGATGCAAAAGGAAAAAAAACTAAGGGAAACTATCATAAATCTAATCCCTAATGTTGTCATACAATGATGGTCCTAAGGTCAAGGATAAAAGGGAACCTCTACCTATGTAAGCATGCATGGATTACAAGTCTAATGTCTAACTTGCATCGAAAATGATATAAGCCCATCCTAAGGGAGAACGTTGGGTGAAGGCGAAACTCAATAAACAAAAGAGACGTCGGATGAAGGCGATCTTAACAAACGAAAGGCACGTCGGGTGAAGGCGATCCTAACAAACAAAAGGAACGCCAGGTGAAGGCGAGCCTTTTTATCAGAAAGAACACCGAGTAAAGGTTTAAAGAGAAGCATAAACACAGGCGCAATCAAGCAAAGACAAGCCGAAGCCAAAACAAACAAACAAAGCTTGAGGAGTATCCACTCACTCAAGTAGCACACACATAGTCGAGGTATCATGGCACCAAGATAGGATCAGGAGAGGGATGCCTAACCACGATATCGAATCGTCGAGGTAGGAAAAAGGAAGCGGGGCACCTAACCATGATATCAAATCATCAAGGTATGATAAAGGGATGCTTAGCCAAGATATGAACCCATCAAGACAAGCGAAATGGGGGAATAATGGTTCCTAATCGTGATATCAAATTATCAGGGCAAGAAAGAAAGTGGGTGTCGACTCTTAACCAAGATATCACATAATAGAGGCAAGAGAAGAACAAAAGTGAATCTTCATATGCAACTAAACACATGTCCAAGATATTAAGAATCGGGGTAGGAGATAAAAGGCAATAAGGAGAGCTGAAGACAAAGTGTGAGGGATCGATTACAAACCCCTTTTCAACCTGATCGGCTCGATAACATGAACAGCACGGTTCATAGCATCAATGCACGATGCGAGCTATAAACGACACAGACTAGAAATGGTGGGGTCGATTGTAGACCCTCTGTTGCATTTTCTCTTTTCAAGGAATTATCAATGGGGAATGGAATGAGACGCCTTCATCAAGGTCTTTGGCACAAATGTAAACAAACGAGATGGTAAACAAACAAGCACAAGTAGAATTGCCTTAAACATGTCTTTAAATAAACCAAATTTGCCTCACTGGGACTCCTACAACATGCATCTCTATCCTACTTCTCATGGCATCAAAAAAGCGGTAAACAATTGCAGAAAAAATAAGCACGAAATGTACCAAACGGATAAGAGTCTGTTATATAGCAAATACAAGCCAAGAAACCCAAATTCTTCGAGCGAGCTAGCACCAACAAACAAATCAAGTCAGATACAACATCTAATGAAAATCCAATATCATAATTCAAACACAAATCGTAAGCAAGAGTAATGTGTCGCGCCAAATCAATGCCCTGCACAATACAAGTCTATACAACAAGGCTACCATGTTCCTGTACAAGATAAGTCTATACAACAAGACTATAATCCAAGCGTCGTATATCATACGACAATGCCTTCGGAAACTTGCACAAAACCATAAAATTGAGTTAGAAAATAACAAGGAATATCAATTGCGGTTAAACAATCATCACCATAACTCAAAATGACATAATGTCATGCATTAGGCAAAATTAAACAAGCAACAGAAACCCAAAACCAAATACGGGGCAACATGTACATCATAACATGAATCGTACGAAATGTCAATCCGAAATCAATACAACTCGATGAAAATATCTAAAAAATACAAATACAATGATGCATAAACCAATAATTAAAATGCATTTCGAGCATATTTTACAAAAACTAGGCAGCAACTCACACATACAACAAAATGCATAAGAAATCTCATCAAAATCGAGTAAACTCGAACACAATCATCAACAAATGAACAACTATGCATAGCCAAACATGAGAAGCAAATTATATCACTAAAAACAAGTGGCAAAATTGTCTGGGCAGCACCTCGGTCATTTTAAGAATTAAACCAAAAAACGCAACAAAATCGAACCAACTCAACTACAATGTCCCATAATCAATCAATGAAGTGCAAACATGCATCATATAAATATTAAAACCCAATGTATATCTTAAATGGAAAACCGGAAAACATTGTACTCAATTTTAATGTGCACAAAAAATTATTCCGAAACCGGTAAAACTTGACATAATCGTCACTCAAATGCTAAAACAAATGCAATGAAACAAAAGCTAACAATTAAGACAAGTTCCAAGTGCGTTTTTGAAAACTGGACAGCACTACACTGTATCATAAATCAATCCGAAAAATCACATCGGAAACGGTAGAAATCAATGTTAACTATCCATAAATGTCTGCACATGATCAAGTAAACCTATTTTAGAAGCAATTTGCACCTTGTTTACACATTCCGGACAGCAACTTATACTTAAACCAATATCGATAAAAATCATTTTAAACAATTGCAAATGGACGTAAAAACATACTTATCAGTTCAAGTATTATCGCTTAGGAATAGTGAACAAGTTAAAAACAATGAAATCATTCCGGGTGATCTTAATTCCAAGCTCAAAACATCATTCATGAGTTAATGCAATTTTATCGAATCGAAACATTTTTAATGTCAAAAAATCAAATTTATCAACAACATGATGTAAAGTTAGATTAACTCGTGAAATCAAGCTAAATTCTCATGATCAATTCATGATTCAACACAATTCGACATAAATCGACATAAACAATATCAAAACTCACAATGAAAATTTATACCGAAATCGCATCAAAGCACCGGTTCATGAACCAGTGCTTCAAGAATATTCAACTCATGAAATTATGCAAAATCAAATCAATTCAAGAATCAACATAAAATCATGAATTCACATAATGTTCAACCAATTCCACTTTTAATCATCATCATCAATTCAATTATCAAGTGATTTGCACAAATTCAAGAATCAAGTATTATCTCACATGAAATTTAAAAGTTCAATTCAATCATGTCAATTAACTTCAAATCAACTTAATTCACATAATCAACATCTCAATTAAGCGATTATCTCAAGAGAAGATTTAGGAGTTACCGAAATTTAAGCTTGAATCAAAGAAATAACAGAAGCTTGCCAGAATTCACCACAGAGAAGAAGCTATTCACCGGAAAAATCAAGCGATCGGAAGGAATAAACACTGGAACAACTCGCAGCAATAGGAGCTAGCTAGCAGTGACGGAGAGAGAACCGAAGACGAATCGGAAACCACGCAGAGGAAAAACGGAGGGAGCAACCGGAAGTTACAATGCCGACCAGTGGACAAGTGGCAGAGAGGCTCGCTGGAGAGGAGATTTGTGGTGATGAGGAAGTTTGCGCATAAATTGGAAGGTGAAGGATGAAGACTTATCAAGCTTTTTATGAGTTTGTGTTGAGTTGTTCTTGAAGAAGATGAGAGAAAAAGAGAGAGTTTTTGGTTTGATCTTGTGAAAATGTGAAATGAGAGTGTAATTGTGTTTGATATTTGAATTTCAAAATATATAGTCTTGGCTCCAAACTTGAAATTTCAACTTATTTTGTGTATAGTGTGAGATCGAACCACGAGCTCATAATAATTGGTGCTAAATTTTGACGCACGTCTTGAAAGAAAGCTCTTGATGACGAAATTTGTGACACGGCACCGAAAGAATCGTCTCAATACGATAAAAATTGAGCAAGTTATGTCTCTCTAAACAAAGAGAAACGCAGTGTAAAAATACACAGTGCATAATTTTACAGCTTATTTTATGTACGACGCGCGAACAAACCACAAGCCCATGCCTTTCGGTGCAGAATATCGATGCGAACCCTGAAGCAAAAATATCGGCAATGAAATGTGTGACGTAATGCCAGAAGAATCACCCCAATACGACAAAAATCGAATAAGTTATGATTTTTTGAATTGCGATAAACCGTGGAATTATTTCATCGTATTGAAAATTTCAGCTTATTTTTGTGCATACTTTCAGATGCGAGCCATAAACTGGAACCTTCGAAGCATAATCTAACCTCGGTCCCTGAAGCAAAGTTGAAGCTTACAAAATTTGTTAACTCACGCCTCAAGAATCATCCTAATACAATAAAAATCGAGAGAGTTACGATTTTTATAATACCGAAAAATAGTCTGTTAGAAAACCACTTCAGCATGCAATTTTCTCTGGTAATCCGCACTTTTGGAAATCTTTTGCAGATGATTAGCTCCTGACCCGAACATACAGATCGAATATAAAATCAAGAGGGATTTTTCTCCCAAAGTACCACTAAAAAACCTCGAACCGGGTGAAAGTTATGAATTTTTGAATATCTGGAAAACAATGGTTCAGGCACACTATTTTCACTGTTTTTCACTGTATAACTTCAAAGTACGCATGCATTCGGAGATTTTCCTCAATGAATTTGCTTTTGAGTTGAACACAAAAGTTGAAGGAAATAACAAGACAGTTCAAATTATCTAAGAGGAGCTCAAAGATGATTTTCCAGTCAGAAGTTACATATTTTTAAGCATCTGAAAACTAGAGAAGCGGTAAATCCATTGTATAACACATTTAAGGTCTTTTGCACTTTAGATAATCTTCCTTACAAAATTAGCCTTCAACATGAACAGATGGAACAAAGAAGACCTCAAGAAGTTTCTAGTGACTGAAGAATCAATCCCAAACCATTTTCTGATCTCAATTTGTGAATTTCTGAGCTCGAAATGCACCGTACTGAATTTCTGTCTGCATTGTCTCAAATCAAATCGAACGCTTAACTTTCTGCATAATTCAGAGCATGTAGGAACACATAAATCTTGACATGATGATGACTTGATTATTTGTTGATTGAATAGCTAGGAAAAACATGCGGGGTGCATAAAAATGCAGAAAACCCAGAGTTTTGCTTTACAATGCCGCTTAACAGAACAATTAAATTTTCACAATTATTTTCATAGAGAAATGCCTCGATTCCATGAGTTTAAACCTGATGACATGTACATATGCATGTAATGATGAAGTATAAGCCAATTCGGGTTAAAAATGAAGAGGGAAAATTTTGGAGGTACAACAACTGCCCCTATTCAATCTTCTTTAACCAGAGGATGAGATTGGTGGATGCCTTTCAAACAATTAGGGTAAAAGAGGATTGAATACTCAATAGAACCGTAAAATTTGCACTCTGGAGATTTTAGGGTATTATTATATTTTTAGATTTTTTTTATTGGGTAAATAGTGGATGTTTGGAACAGAATCCTCTTAGTGATGCATGTCAGGTCAGAGTTAGACATAACAAAAGAAAAGAGACCAGATGTACACGTCTGGTAAAGATTTTGGACACATACAACAAGAGACATGATTAAAAACAAACTCTAATAACCAACACTGGGAATATATGTTGGGTGAGGGAGAACTTAATAAACAAAGAAGATACCAGGTGAAGGCAACCTTAACAAATAGAAAGAATACCAGGTGAAGGCACACTTAACAAACAATAAGAATACAAGGTGAAGACACACTTAACAAACAATAATAATATCAGGTGAAGGCAAATTCAATAACAAAAAGAAATGTTGGGTGAAGGCACCTTATCAAACAGAAAGTACGCTGGGTGAAGGCAGACTTAACAAGCCGAAGGAACGTCGAGTGAAGACGAAGCTTGACAACAAAAAGATCGGCGGGTGAATGCAAAACTTACAAGTGGATAAATCGTCGGGTGAAGGAGAAACTAACAAGCGAAAAGATCACTGAGTGAAGGAGAAGATTTAACAACTAGAGAGTATGTCGGGTGAAGGCGGACTTAATAAGCCGAAAGAATGTCGGGTGAAGGCGAACCTTACAAGTGAAAAGATCGTCGGGTGAAGGCGAAACTTAACAAATGGAAATATCGCTGGGTGAAGGCGAAAATTAACAAAAGGAAAGTACGTCGGGTGAAGGCAGAACTTAACAAACGGAAAGTACGACAGGTGAAGGCGAAACTTAACAAACAGAAGTACGCCAGGTGAAGGCGATATTTAACAAACAGAAAGAATGTCGGGTTTAGGAGAACTTAACAAGCCTAAGGAACGCCGGGTGAAGGAGAACCTAACAAACTAAAAGGACGTCGGGCGAAGATGAACATAACGAGCCAAAAGAAACACCAAGTGAAGGTGGACCTAACAAACGAAAGAATGTCGGGTGAAGGTGAAACTTAACAAATTAAAAGCACATAGGGTGAAGGTGAACCTTAACCAATGAAAGAACGTCAGGTGAAGGCGGAGCTTAACAACAAAAACAAACGTCGGGTGAAGGTGAACCTTATCAAACTGAAAGTAAGTCGGGTGAAGGCAGACCTAACAAGCGAAAGAATGTCGGGTGAAGGCGAAACTTAATAAATTGAAAGTACGTCGGGTGAAGGTGAACCTTAACAAATGAAAGAACATCGGGTGAAGGAGAAATTTAACAACGAAAAGAAACACCGGGTGAAGGCGAACTTACTAGGGATACCCATATATTAAACCCAGGTAGGTCTCCGATCAAAGGCCATCTTGCCAATGAAAAAAACATAACTGATCAGACTCTAGACAAGAGTTGCCAAAGCACATTGGACTTTTGGAGGTCTTGTATAGGCAAAGGTAGGAATTCATAATTCACTAGGGATAAAGGAAATACCAAAGACCCAACTGGTGGTAAACCAAAACAGACTCCACTGAGGAAACAGGATAGGATCCACTGGGAATAAACTGCAGAGGTAATTCAAATCTTAGCACCTAACCACTCTGGTTACTTCAGGTAAACATAACTGGATTATACCTCAATGCATGTTTGAATTTTTTTATATAGCGTAATTCTCCATACAATGGAAATGCTACGCATTTTGGTAGATAAAATGTAATGATGCATGTTTAAAGATGCACTGGGGAAAACACAGCGATAATCGACTGCTGAAAAGTCATGGAGTTTTCGAACGACTATCTTTGTACATCTGATCTCCTAGTTGCGAATAATCAATCTGAACTTCATGGAGAGATTGCAAATATGGAGCAAAAACTACCAAAGATCGAAATCATCGGGGAAGTAAATTCTTGGGAAGAATACTGCAAAAAAAAATTGTAGTTCAAAGAAAATATTGACCTCTGATCAAACTCTCAACTTCCTGAGGAACATATTCCTTGCCTCCTGTCCAGATGAGGAGAACTTCGCTAGGAATGGAAATTGTCTCGCGTAGAGTTTCTTGACGAAGATAACTTCTACTGGGGAATTAGAGAAATTCTTAAATAAAAAGAATTCTACTCAGACCATACTGGGGACATTACCGCTGGGACATAAATCTTCACTTGGGGAAGAAGAAAAACTTGATCCCAGAAACTTGAGATTCAAAACTCCACTGGGGAATATCTCAACAATCTTCTGTTACTGGGGATAAAAAGGTTTCGACCAACACTGCCATGTATACACCACATTGGGAATACATTATTCTGTACAATATTCATCATCATCAGGCTTTATTGGGAAAGATAAAACTTGCTCTGTTAGGGATAAAAACCCTCTAAACTCAGCTCCGACTGGGGATAAAACTACCTCTTCCACTAGGGAACTGAAAAGCTCTTAATAGCCATAACAACATTATAAGCTACACTAGGGGAGGAAAATACACACCTCACTAAGGATTAGAGCGCACACTTAATGGGGAGTATGAGGGCCAAACTCACCGGGGAAGCAAAATATCAACTTATCGAGTATGTTCAGTCAGTAAAATAAATGATTCTTCTGAGAGAATTTGAAAGGCATAGGCTACGCTGGGGAGAAGTATTATACAGAATCATGCTGACATGCACTTCTCCAAAGATAAGTCCTTCGAAGGGGACAAACTTTTAAACCAACTCCTATCAAGAGTGCAAGCCTAAATGGGGATTAAGTAGTGGTATACTTACACAAGAAATAAGGGATTCTTCCTGAGCGAGAACACACCTTCAATGGGGATAAGGATTCCATTTTTGATAAAACATCCCTTCCATTGATAACCTCATGTTGGTCGCCATTAAGCCTTCCTTTATTCACTTGTTGGTACACTTCTTGCCATAAAAGACCAACAGTACTTGCAAAAGGGAAATTAAAGCAGCATGCCCCAGGTATAAAATGGAAACCTTAGCTGCCACCTCGGACACCCAAAAATTCCAGAAATTACATATATTTTATATCATGTGTTGTAAAGTTTTAATGTTTTTAAATGCAAAGTTTTATCAAAAATGCTGGACGTTTTTTCGCAAACAAAATAGCAAAAATAAAAACAAAGAAGCACAATTTGAATAAAAGAATTTTATTGATTAACTAGCCTGTAAATAGGCATTTACATCAACAATAAATTCCTAAAAAGAGGTAATTACGCACAAAGCATACAGAGGATAATATAGAAATGGCAATGTGAGTGCATATTTATCGGGTATCGACTCTACTATGACTCTTATAACCTCAAAGCTCCTTAGTATCTTGCTTTCTGAGAAAGTTGATTGGACTGATTC